CAGGTTCCCAAAGCTTTGGGCCGTCCTCGACTGCTTTCCCAGGCCACAGGTAGGGAGCTGGATGGGAAGAGGGGCCGCCGGGATTAGAACCTGCGCCCATATGGGATCCCGGGCGTGCAAGGCGAGGACCTTAACCACTGCGCCACCGCGCCAGACCCAGCATTTTCAAATGTATACGGAGATGGTGATGCTAACCATCACGATATGGTCATCATCCACTGAATATTATACCTCTCATGCTGTACCCCGTAAATATGTGCAGCTAAAATACTTTTAATTTTATTGGAAAGGCAGATTTACAAAGACAAAGAGAGATAAAGATCGTCCATTTGCTGATTCATTCCCCGAGTGGCCCCATCGGTGGGACCTGAGCCCATCTGAAACCAGGAACCAGGAGCTTCTTCCAGTTCTCTGCAGGTGCAGGGTTCCAGAGCTCTGGGTTGTCCTCTACTGCTTTCCCAGACAGCAAACTGGGAATTGAATGGGAAGCTGAGAAGCCAGCACGCGAGCTGGCACTCATATGGGATCCCAGCAGACACAAGGCAAGGATTTTGCCACTAGGCTATCGCACCAGGCACAACTAAAATACTTTCTAAATTATCCTGCAGATGCAAGGATGGTATAGCATATGCAGATTAATAACATAATAAAGGAAAAATTATTATCTTAAAATATACAGAAAAGGTGTTTGATTTAATCGCATACCACTTAATGTTAAAGCCACGTTAAAAGGAGATAATTACGTGCTTAAAGTCATTTATTGATTGTTTCAAAAATTCTTAGTTGCACAGGTGGCTGTAAAAATAGCACCAGGACCCCTTTGCCTAGTGTTCTCTCAGGGTGATATCACTACCAAAACCTAGCAAAGGCGTTGGGGCGATTCATCTGTATGCTTGATTCAGGCTTCCTTAGTTTTAGATCCGTCATTTGCATGCTATTCAGCATCTGCAAGGTGCTTACGACCTGTGACGACACGTGGTAAGGCATACAGTAGCTCAACACCATGGGAGACGTTTGCTTTGTAGTAAAATGGTTCCACATACCCTAGAAACTCTAGAGCTCGCCACCAGGCAGCCAGCAGACAGAGCCTGGTGCCAAATAGGCACAGTGGCCACCCAAAGCCTAGGACTCGTTCCCCGTGTGGCGATGCTGCCTGGGCATCGGGTCCGACCTGGCCTGGGTACTCTCTGCAAGCAGGTGGTCACCTCTGCGGAGGGCTGCTGTCACTGGAGCCGCTGAGGTCGAACTCCCACCCTCTCGTTTCCTGCTGCCACAAGGTGGTGGTTGCAGGGCGGGGCTGGAGACCTTAATCCCGTCCCAGGATTTCCTCATGGTGGACTCACCATGGGGGAAGAAATCTCTCTCTCTGGCCTCCCAGCAGCCAATATTTTGAAGATCCTTTTGCTAGAGAAACACTTGGATGTTTATACATGGCTACCCAGAAAGAAGGCTAACCATCTAGCCCACCAAAAGCTCAGGTAAATAAACTACGCCTATTGGACTTACCGAGGATTGCTTTAGACAATGATCACTTCATAAAAATGAAGACAAACCACAACTTCAGACAAAATCAGAAACGAACATCCCAAATTTAGTGCTTAGTCAACTCAGCCAGATACAAAGTGCCATGGTAACGTCACTTTCATATTCATAATCAAGTAAAATATTTTGCTTAAGAATGTTAATCTCCTCCCCACAAGAGGAATGCCCTGTGCCACGTGACTTGCACCATGCCCTCCTAAAACCCCAATCCCTGCCGTTGACATGCTTTCGTCAATCAATGAGTAGACAGAAGTTTGTCACTTTTGAAGGCTTAAGTTTCCATTAGGTCTGCTGCTCCTTGGTGTCCTAAAAGTGAGTGTTCTTTGAATCCAGATACTAGAAGCAAACATCCTAAGCCAACCAAGCAGTTATCTATGCAAGAAATACATGTTTGTTAAACCAGTGAGACGGTCCTACCATTCATGACAAATTTAATAAAAGAATCTAACTTGGTGGTTAAAATGGTCAAGCAAAGCAAGAAAAGAGCAAACTGACAGAGGTCTCAAAGTGGGACGTGTGTGTGCAGCCAGAGCGGAGGGTGGGGAAGCTTGTGGCAATGGCATTACTAAATTTGCGGGTTTGAGTATCAGTTATATGCATGTCTGCTTGCAACCATTCAGTTCTGCAAATATCTCACCCATTTTTCTCTATTTATCAAAATGTAAAAAAAATGCAATACATATAAAATGTAATGACTGTCTTTTGCATAATATCTTTCAAATATAAATTATTGTATATCCTCCTTCTTCCATTAGTGATGACAATGCTACCAAGGATAATTTGAGATAACATTTCAAATCAACCAACCAATTCAGAGACCGGTGTTTGGCACCAGGATCAAGCTGCCAGTTAGGATGCCCTTGTCCCAAGTAAAAGTACCCGAGCTCCGTTTCCAGCTCAGGTTCCAGGTTCCTGTAAGTGGGCAACAGGCAGTTTTAGTCCAGTAGGGACTTAACCACCATATGGGAGAAATGGATTGACCCCTGGTTCCCAGCTTGGCCCTTCGGCCACTGCAAGCATTTGGAGAGTTACCCAGCAGATGTAGTCACTCTTGGTATAAGTGTGTGTTTAAAGTTCAATTATGACGAATAAATTGCTATCCCTGAAAGGGTTATTGTAGAATCTTCTACAACGCTTATCTTAAATCAGATAAAACATCCGTGTAAAGCAATACAATTAGCCATACTTTATCATTATTAATTCACCTAGTAATTCTGTTAAATGGCCTGTAATAAAATAACAAAGCTATAGTCTTAGCTGACAGGGATTTGAAGAATCATGCAAAGGCAATAAGAGCAGAGATCAGGTGCAAAAGTTGCAAGCAGAATTCCGCTTAGCTCGTTTGACAAGCAGGGAAATCAAGTGACTGAGGCATGTGCGTTGTATCACGCTGTGCTTCCACACAAGTCAATGTTAGTCATGGTCCTTCTGTCAAGGTAATGGGATCTCGGCAGTTTAAAAGGCCCAGTGTATCTGTTCAAGACAGTTTTACTCCTCACTATTTCTTCCAAATCCTAATGTGGACAAGTCCAGATCAAAGTTCTTGCAAACACCAAACAGTATCCAGCAAAGTATCTTTGATTATTTTAATTGCATTAAGTAATAAATGGTAACAATGGTATGGAATGGATAACAAGATTATGAACCAGGTTAAAAACAAAATTAAGTTCTGCGTGGAAAGATTAGACCTACCGGGTAACTGATAAGTGCTTTCAAATCCAGCCCTTCAAAAGCAAAACCACTTTAAAAAGCTTAAGTCTTTCATGTGTACACCTTCAGAAAACACTTAATGCCAATGCAGACAAGGTACAGAGCTACTCACATCATTCAACTGTTTCATGTTGAACAACAGCAGGTGGCCAAGTACTCTGAGACTGTGCACTTACCAGGAAGTTACAGTATGGTTAGCTACGTAATAAAGATGACTCCCATCAAAGTTGTTCTTCAGAAGCAATTGTCCCCCACTTGCTCTTGGCACCTGTGCATCTTACTCTCTGAAAACGGGCTGTCAGTGAGTGATTGTACTGGGCCAGGAGTCTTCCCTGGTCCTTCCCTCAACCCACCAGCCAGCTTTGAGTGAATGGCTGTAAACCCCAGAAGCCAGTCACTAGACGAAAAGCTCCTGTGGGAAGCTGCCTGAACATCATGGGTCTCTCCCAAGAGCGATGAATTTTGACTTCTAAGGGTACTAAAATTTGATGTTGCCCATTAAAAACATTTAATGCCATTTAGCAGTATTTAAGCTCTCTCTCAAATATTGATTGAAGAGCAACATCTGAATAGTCAGTCTAATAAATGGCATTTGCAAACCTTTTGATTTCCAATTGATGACAGTCCCTGGCCGTCTCTGCACAGCTGAGTAAGGGAACTGAGGCCTTTCTTAAAGCAACAGTGAAGGCAGAAAAAGAGCACAAGCCCAACTTCTGATACCCATCTGGGTCAAACCTCTCTGGATTGTGACTTTCAGACCTCAGTACATCTTCAGACCCTCCCCACCCTTCATACCAACTTACTGAGAAAGTTTACAGCCACGCTAAGCTTCCAAAATGCAAAGTGGGGTTTAGGAGCACAGCAGGAGCCTTTAGATGCAGATGTTTTCTTTCTAACGTGAACACTACTGGTAAGTACCTTTACTTTTCAACTCCTACATGATTTATTCTCAACCACATTCAAGACGCTTAAGCGGGGCATGTACAAACTGCACTTCGAGAACTGCTTTAACGCTTCTCCAAACTTTGAATACCCAAGGTAAAAATAATTTGTTTTTGTAGCCATGAGCTATTAATCAAAACCAGAGTTCGTGCTTCAACACCTCATCTGGAACAAAGACTACCGGGGCTATCCCTCAGGACTAGGCTCCAGCACAGGACTATTCTGAGTGGATGGGGAGATGACGCCCCCCGCCCTCATCAAGTGAAACTCTAGCTGACCTCTTACATCACCCCCGATAAAGTCAGGTTCAAAAGAGCACCGAACATATTTTCTGTTACCTTGAGGAAGTATTTCTGTTTTGCTTTCTTAATTCATTGGCAAATATGCTAGGACATCTCTCTTTTTTGAGACAGGAGTAGATAGGCTGTAGCTGGCACGCACAGGGCAGTCATGCAGCCAGAGGCACACCGGAGTGAATAGAGGCAAATACTCCGGTTTTCAGTTGTAACCACCTAAACCCATTTCTTCCATGTATAAACATGTATCTTGAGATTATTTTTCTTAAAGTTGGGGCTATTAGGGTTTTCCAGTGTTACTTTAAAGTAAGGTAAACATCACCCTCATCACTACCACTCCTAGTCTGAGACAACACAAGTCATAGCACTCGGGGAAAGAGCTTGGAGGGGGAACAGCCGGATCTAAATCAACAGGCACTCAAAAATGAAAACACAAAACAAAAAGAAGCATATCCAAATAAGTGCCATCTATAGCCCCCGCTGTTTGGTTGCATCAGAAACACGACTCCATTCACCATCAGGATTTATTGGGCACCCATGAGGTGTGAGGTACAGGCTAAGTGTTAGGGAATACACACAACTAAATCTGACTGCCCTCACAGAGCTTACAGTCTAAATAGGAGCTAACAGTCTCCTGAGAAGGTATTTCAGATCCAACTAACCTTCCCACACCCACTGAAAAAAAATAAAGTGGTTTGTTCCACTTTTAAGTTAGCAGCTTCACATAAAAGCATAAACCTGAAAATCTCCTAAAATGTATACTTTTACTTGTAAGCAACTTACTTTCATTAGAAAAAAATGCTGAGTATTTATTGCAATTAAAATCCTGAAATGTATATTCACTATTTTCATGAATTTCTTATCAATCTGTACTTGTGAAGTAAACAATTTCCCGTATTGCATCAAAAACATGCAACATCTTTAATATGAAACCACTGGCAGTCACATGTAACATAGTCTTTTCTAAAAGCAAAGAATGTTGGAGAAATGAAGATCTTATTACCAAAGTTCCCAGCTTTTTTTTTTTTTCATAAACCCACTTCATGTCAATTCAGAGCATTACAAAGTAACACTTAACCTATACACCTCAAACAGCCAGAGCTTTCAATTCCTAGCTTTACACAGACAAGATTTCATAAAGGTCCATTAGCACCTTAAAGCTCCTCCCTTGTTGTTACTAACTGGCAGCTAAAAGAAAAGCAGTTTCAAAAAAGGTGATTCAAAGTAAACCCGTCTCAATACAGTCTTAAGAATTTAAGTTTTCTGTTATCTTCTTTTCATCATTAAACAAGTATAATTAACAAGGGGAATATAAAAACACTGTTAATGTTGTTTGTCTAGGTAAACCTAACTAGGGATAGGATATAATGGACCTAATATTTTAAAATTCGCTCATTCTAGCTCTAACTAAAGTGTCTTGCCATCCCTTTTCTCACAATCCTCTCTGCCCACCCAGCCTTTTCTAAACATATTTGTGTCTTTGGACAGACTTGCAAGAACTACCTTTAAAACATCAAGACGAAGGTAACCTTACCAACTGAGCACAAGTCAGTTTTTTTGGAAAGTACATCTATAATGAACTAACAAAGCTGTGCACACCCAAAATTAAGCTTCCAAGCCCCAGGCTCCGCTGCTGTGTTAGAGCGTCCTTGCCCTGGGTAGTTATCCACATTGTGTTGGGCTTCATCCTAGTCTTCCTCTCCAAACTTGGAGAATACAAGCAAATGACAAGCAAGGACACTTGCAGGTTTTGCACTTTCTTGCCTTGGTATTCACATCATGTAAATTTTCTGGTATAAATCTAACGAAGGTTGACAATACGAATCATTTTCCTGATCTCTCACTACTACCAAGGTGCTTTTGTTATGTCTGCTAAACAGCTGAAATTTCAGATGTACATGTAGAAGGACCACCACTTGAGTTAACTAGAACAAATCATCTGTCATTTTACAGAGAAAGAGACTGAAACCCAGAACAGCTCACTGAAAAGGCTGGGAGCCAAAGCCAGTTAAGACAGTCATGACATTATACTCGACTTTTCTGCTACTTCGGAAAACTCCTAGCTACATGCTTTTACGTGAACCATACAGCTAGATATAAAAACCAATAAAATGAATATAACTAGATAGTGATGTCTTTCATAATATGGAACAACTGCTAGTAACTGATTTAAACTTCCTTAGGAAATATTAGCCCTTTTTGATTACTACTAACAACATAATTATGGTTTAGTCTTGCTCTTAAGAGTAACTAAAAGTTGCTACCTTAAAGGACTTTGTCAACTGCAAAAGAAAAACGTTAAATATGATTATTCTAAATTATTTTAATTACCTTTAGATATTCTCATATATGCAGAGAATGAAATAAAATACATCTACATATGGATTATCAGCAGCTTCAGGGTAACGGAGCATACTATGAAAATTTTAGTATATGTGCTGCCGAAGCGAGCACAATGTTATGAAAATTAAAAGTGAAATTTAATTGGCCTGCATTCTGATGTATAATAAAAGACAATCTTACAGAATCTTAAGATCCGAGTTAACTCTTTTTTGCTGTTTTCTATTTGAGCTTGCAGCAACTCAGTAAACCTCTGGGTTTCAGTTTCTTCATCTGCAAAAATAACCCCTACACAATTTATCCCATTAGGCTGAGGATAAAATACAAGAAACTGTACGAGTGCTTTTTAAATGGAAAAGTATACAAGAAATATTAATTATTATTATTACCTCAATAGTTACAAAAATGTGGACCTATAGAAAACTAACTACCACCTGATGGCACTAAGCATGCTTAATAGAACAAACTTAAACTCAAGGAGTAAACCATGCAAAAATTTTCAACTTCCAATAGCAATGCTAAAAAATTACAAAGATATAATACAATGGAATGTTTTTAGAGAAACCACTGAAAGACACACATCTAGTTGACCTAAATGATTTTGAAATTAGAATATTTTGTATTTACAGCTAAATATAAAGAGGTATTTAGTCTTTCAAGTGAAAAAAAAATTACTAGCCATCTATAAAAAAAAAAAAAAAGCATTATAGCATTCCCAAGACAAATGGAATAAAATTCCACCACATTTGGCTTTTTCGTAAACTAGGTTTCTACCAAATAGCCACATTACTTCTTTCAATAATCGAAGAAATGTCTACTTATTAATTATATCCAATGTTAGTCTGCATGAATGCAAGGCATAAACTAAAGTTCTTAAGACTCTAACAGGCACCTGAGAGTGTAATCACCCTTCATGCGCACTTTACATGAATAATGGAAATACAGGAAATAACGCAAAACTTTTTACAAATAGTTTTCCTGTGTGTGTAGTTGCCTTATTCTTACAATTCTCCACTCCTAGCGGCTTTGCTTTTAAAATTTGGTTTAAGTAATATACTAACTTGTCCCTTCAAATATGCCTTCTGATGTTAGTTCTCAAAGAAAAAAAAAAGTAAAAATAAAAAACATGAAGATGCAGGGGTAGAGATAAATGAGACACAGTCCATTAAGTATAAAAATATTTTGTTTCAAATTCAGAATAATTTAATAACTCTTCGTTATTTCATATGTATCTGGAAATGGGACAGACACATGTCCCGATCCTGTCACAAGAGGTAGAATTCCAGCATTTGGTACGACATTCCAAGACAGGGTCAAAGTGACATTCCTGTTTCCCCTAGAAAAAGAAGTAATAAAGAGAAGTCAGCAGAAATATTTTTGACTCAAAACATTTTATACGTAGTACTGAGGTACTGGGTACTTAACTATAATTGGCTATTCCTACTAGAAATCCCTGCTTGAGAACAGAATATTTTCTCATGTCATGGCAAATCCAAGGACAATGCTGAAAAACATCAGACCACAACTGCAGGCATCTCACAATGACCTAGCATTGTTCGCTTAATGAAATAGCACCAAAAGGTATAAATGAGAAAAACCTAACAAACTTAAGGAGAAATTTGTTCTTGGAATTAGAAAACAATTCTTAAAAGCCTAATTCTGGCATTATCCAGATGGGCAAACCTGAACAAAATAAAATACCTCATTGCCTGATATTTTAATTTGTAAAAACAGGCCTGGTTTAATAAAAACAACTCTTCTAAAATTTTTCTGTTATGCTAGAGTAGTCCAGATAAAAATTACATGACGGATCAATCATTCCAGTTCCAACTACACAGTAAACTGAGGCTTAGACAAGCTAAGATAACAAGTATTAGAAACCTCAGTATCAACTGCTTCCTCATCACGGGGCTTACCTACGTCAAGTCCAGAAGACAGCCCTTCAATTTGACAACCACACCCATCTACCAACAAGCCCACTTCCTCTACACATTAGTAGAATCTTTAGGCCTTTGTGAGTTTTTTATATTTCATACACTATGTAAGAACTGATTAGTTTTGACTCCAATTTGTATTTCTACCCAATCGTTCAGTTCAGATCTGTACAAATACTTCTCTTCCAATATTCCTTCTTCTACCCTCTAACATTTTTCTTCAAAATAAAAATACATCTTTTGTTCACTTTCACATCATACTAAAATGTAAGAAATGACAACAGAAAATGCTCACTTGAGACCATTCCCATCGTCAAAGAAAAAATACTTTGTTTTCATGTCTTTCAGCAGCAGCTTCGGGTTATCACCTCGCAGAACAATCTTGTCCCAGAGGACAACTTGGTTCAGAGCCTACATTAAAATGAAAATTGGATAACTTATCAGAAATAGCATCGTATCACTTCACACGGAAAGCATTACGAAGCACTGATTCATTGATACAATAATGAATCCTACTTTTCAAAGACTTACTGAGATCTTCCAGTACAGAAAACAACACTAAGCACACAGATGCAAGAATTGCGGAAAAAGATACTGTTACAAACAAAATCATTTCTTGTGTAAGTTAACTATACTTCTTAGGGCTCTCACAGACCCTAAGTTTCAGATCTAGTCATATGTTCTCTTCTGGAAGTAAAATCCTTGAAGAACAAAGACACTAGAGCAGTTAGAACTCTCAGTGGGCGGGTATTCAGTTAAATCACTCATCCCTGATGGATTTCTGAGACTCTCCAACTCAGAGTAGACACCAATGACGCCAGGGCAACAGACAGAATACTTGTTCCAGGATGCTGTTAGTAGATTACTTCGTCAAACCACACCAGGAAAGTTCATGAATTTCTATGATCTTTAAATCACCAAGGACTCACTCTAGAAAAAAATGTTCATTTAAAAAGCATCCTCCTTTTTCAAAATATGTGCTTCACTGTTTTATCATGGCAAATTTCTAGAGATCTTTTGTTGTTGTTATTGTTCTTTTATATTTTAAGATTTATTTTACTTGAAAGGCAGAAACAAAGGGAGGGAGAAGGGAAGTGAGTAAGTTATCTTTCATTCACTACTTGGCTTTCTAAATGTCTTCAGACACAGGGCTGGCCCAGGAACAAAGCCAGGAGCCAAAGACACAATCCAGGTGTCCCAAATGGGCAGTAAGAACTCAACAACTCACTTGACCATCACTACTGCCTTCAAGGGGTGCGTTATCAGGAGCTGGAGCCAGGTCACAGCTCTACTGCCATCTGGGATCAAGTGTCTTAACCACTAGATCAAAAGGCTACTCCTAGAGCTGTTGCTCTTCACAAACAGCATTTTCTGTTTGCTTCTTTTAACACTGTGCTGTTTCTCAAGAGCAAGAAACAAAATTTATTCATCCCAATGTTTCCAGTATCTGACAAAGTGTTTGGCATATACTATATGATCAAAATAAATGTATGATGAACTCAAGTGCCAAAAACTCTAGTTTACCATACCATGAAATAAATGAAATTCAAGAATGTGTCATTCCTTGAAAACAAGTAAAATTTAAATTTAAACAAATGAATGTCAACTCACCTTTGCATAAATTATCCATAGGCCACAATCAGAGATTTAGCGATAGCTCAAGCACAAACAATATGCAAAAACATTCTAATGCCAAGATTTCACTTTCCACTTTCATATTTGAGTGTTATCACTTGATACCTTCAGTATCAACACTGAGGCAGAACCAAATATTCATTTTTTGCAACATTCTAAATACGAGTCCCATTCCCTCCCCTACCTGTAATAAAAGTCTATCACACTACATGAATAGCTTTCAATCATAAATGAACCATTTAAATTGGTTGATTTCTAACAGCATCACATAATTTCAATTATACTGATCAAGTATAGTCTAAGTACTCAGGTTGATTAATCTCACACAGTTCCACGATAAAGGAAAACAGGTTTCCATAAGCTTATATTAATTGTAAATGCAAAGCTAATAAGCAAAATGCAAAGCTACTAGCAAAATAGTTCATTTCACAGATGTATTTATATTTTATACAAACACAATTTCAAAATAATGCGATGGTTCAAAAAATGTTAACAATCTGCACAGCTTTTGATTATTTCTTAATGAAGCTATTAATCACATTTCTCAAACTTTGTTCATTCAATCATGTTGCCAGTTAGCTCCCTAATTTTAGGTGGAGACAGTATTTTGCTCTAAAGGGTACATAGCTGAGAGGCAATACTACAGCCCCATTTCCTAGATAATTCATAGCACAGGTAAGCAACAACCTTTTAGATCTCACCATCTGAAGCAGTAACTAGGAGTTTAAATCCCAGGCTGCTTCGAGTACAAACTCCTGAAATACGCAGATTTATAAGCGATATATGTGACACCCAAGTGCTACTATTAGAGTATATCATTGACAGTGAATATAAATTCCTATTTCAGATGGTCTTATGTTGGACTGTCGCAGCCAAACTATTTTTTAATATGACTTAGTAAGAGCAACAGAGGCAGCAACTCTGCCACCGCCCTATTGTTTAGATGGGTATATCCCACTACCATTCTCTTTAAACCTGATTTCTTTGGCGGCTGTTTGCAGTTTTTCCATTTTGTAAGGATTACTTAAAACCATGTAATATAATCTACTTACACACAGCAACATTCAGAAAAATGCTGACAACTGGCTGCTTAAAATTTCGGCCTACAAACTTCTGAATACGTGCAACACTGCAGAAATGTGGCCATTTGAAGAAAGGACTTAACATGAATATTAACGCTAGCTCAAATAGCAAATATTAGCAAAGCTTAACTTCTTGCCCTTTAAAGGCTTATGATGTCTTACTGGGCTGTTCAGGTTAATGTTTCATGTATTCCCCCATGAAGTTTTACTTAGCTACTAAATATATAAAAATATAAATACATATACTTACGTTATTTTTTGTTGAATACTCAGCTGATAAGTAAAGAAATAACTGCTTAACATTCCAATCAAATATGTTCTCAAGATGTATGCAAGTTAAGGATACATATATACCATGCAACTTTCAAAGCAATCTTAGGTATTCTTAGCAACACTTACACTAAAATACAAAAAAAGTGGCCCAGAAACACACTGAATCACTAATTTAATGAAAATTTACACAAGATATATTTTAAGATTCAGTCCTTTCCAAAGCCAAGGACACAGTCTATCAGTATCCCTTTTTGTTCTTCTCAGCCTTACTAGCAGATACCTTGAGAAAACAAGCAATTAAAATCTTAGTTTCCTTTCACATCAGCTCCTTCAGTCCAAACAAATATAGACTCAGTATCTGAAGCACACTGGATTTCACCAAAGCTTTATGTCTAACCAAGCACCACTTTTTAAAATATAACGATATGCACACATAAGCTAGGTTCTAATAAATAAGAACAATAAATTGAACAAATTGCTCTTGTGTAAATGCCAGTGGATAAAATGCACCACAATAGTTTGGTTCCATTTCACTTCCCCTGTGGGAGGAAAAAAAAAACTCACCAAAATTAAGAAGGCTGGTGTCATTACTGAGAAAAGAGTGGAGTTAATGTTTGGACTTTACTTTGTATTTAAAGTGTTATATCATTTTATTATGCACATTATAAATTGATAGCAACAGATCTACTACATCCAAGTTTTAAATATGTGCAATCACTAAGAATTACTTATTTAAAACTGGCAAATTTCAGACAGCTCTTTATAAGCGCTATTTCTAGCATGCTTGTAGTATCCAGAAGTCTAAACAAACTAGAAGTAACCAAGGACACTGGCAGTATATAAACACGGTAGCCACACCAGGAAATTTCATAAATCGGAATACACAAAATTACTACTTTTATACTACATTTAAATCCCCTGGATATTTTCCAAATGACATGAATAATTCAAAGTACACATACAAAGTATAGGAGTCTAAAATGTTTCTGATATATACTCTTAATTCCTAAAGACTTCATTCCTCATCTTTTTTTTTCTTGAGAGGCAGACAGCGAAAAACAAAAATGAGATCCATTCACTACTCATTCACAAAGCACTCACATGACCTATGCCATGGTGGAAGCCAGGAGCCTGGGAACCAATTCTTGAACTCCCATGTGTGTGCCAGGCACCCAAGTATTTGGGCTCTAATGCTGCTTCCCATTGACAAGAAGCTGGAGTCAAGCAGCAGACTCAAACTGGACACCAAATTCAAGCACAGATACAGAAAAGGTACACCTAAGTAGCCTGCAGCTCCATCACTTGATCCAATGCTCTCTTCTTCCCTCAGCTATAATCTAAATCCAATAATTTATGCAGACACAAACTTGAAAGTATATCCATACAAATAGAAAGGTACACCAGGTAAGCTTCAGGCAAGGGAACTGTACATTAGTTGACTACTGTTTCACAAATTCCAACTTGAGTCTCTGTAACCATTTTTGATGATGTGATCTAAATAGGCAGGCTGAAATGGCTAAGAACACAATTGTTAGCACATCATCTATGAATTGCTAGAAGATCAAAGCAACCAAAGTGATCCTGTGTATCAAGATGAATCCTCAACCAGCTACCCCTCTGCCTGCAAGCACCAGCAACCCATATGGGCACTGGTTCGTGTCCCGGCTGCTCCACTTCCCATCCAGATTCCTGCGTGTGGCCTGGAAAACAACAGGGAGGACAGCCCTTGGGATCTTGCATCCACATGGGAGACCCAAAAGAAGCGCCCGGCTTCTAACTTCAGATAGCTCTGCTGGAGCCATTCTGGCATTTGTGGAGTGAACCAGCGGATGGAAGATCTTTGTCTCTGTTTTTCCTTCTCTCTGTAATTTACCCTTTCCAATAAAAATTAATTATCCTCTTAAAAAAGAAAATATTACATATGTACTGAACATGTGCAACTTTTAAGATTTCTGTGATTCCTATTGTTAAAGTCTTTAAAAAATAAAATCATCTTTCAATTTATAACAGATGCAACAGACTTTCTTTTTTAACATTCATTTATCTGTATTGAAAGGCAGATTTACAAAGACAAGGAGAGACAGCTGGTTTACTCCCCGAGTGGAGCTGAGCCAATCCAAAGCCAGGAGCTTCTTCCAGGTCTCCCACCTGGGTGCAGGGTCCCAAGGCTTTGGGCTGTCCTCGACTGCTTTCCCAAGCCACAAGCAATTGTGACTGCTTTCCCAGGGATCGGGTGGGAAATGGAGCAGCTGGGACATGAACTGGTGCTCACATGGGATCTGAGTGCATGCAAGACAAGGACTTTAGTCACTAAGCTGTTGCACTGGGCCTGCAACACACTTTTGAAACATTTCTCTCGGGTATGAAAATATATATTTATATTTGCTGGGACTTTACATATTTCTAGAATGGGTGGGTATTCCTGCTTAGTAAATGTTTCCTGGGAAGCAGCAGTGATGGCTAAGTAGCCAGGGGGGTCTCTGTCCTGGTTACCGGATTTGCCCAGGCCCAACCCCTTACTGCGAGCATATCGAGAGCAAATCAGTGGACACGCACCTTTTCTGTCCACGCCTCTCTCTCAAATAAATAAAAATTTAAAAGAGAAAAAAGGAGGCAACAAACATTTCCAACTACATAAATTCAGTAACATTTTTCCTTCTGCAATCCAAATGCTTCAATCCTTTGTTTTTCTCCTCCAAAACTCAGATTCAATGTTGCGTAGATTTCAAAAAAAAAACCACCTTTCTCATGTAGACTCAACCAATTTAATGTTGCCATGAATTTAATGTCCATGCAACTCAGAAATTTGTGAAGTTTTCTCAGAGAGTTAACGAAGAGGTATTAATAATTTTACTGATGAAAATACAGGTACAGGACTTCCCAAGGTTTAGCTGGTTCTGCAGAACACCAACCATCTCAATATGACATGATACAGAAAGCAATGAAACATTCTCTTGAAGGATATCAGCAGTTATATCAAATGTAATGAATCCCAGATCACTTCTTTCTCTAGGTCCAGTGAAGTCTTCCACGTTTTTTCTGGAAGACAAAAGTTCCATTATCTATGCATAATAAATATTTTTCATAGCTTTCCGCATATACACGGATTTCAAATATGTTTGGCTCCAAAATAAACGTGAATATTCTGCACGAACTTCCTGAAGCATCTGCTATTTACTGGGCCTTCTTGCTCACTACCTGCCAGATCCACTGAGTGTTTCCCACAATGATTTCAAACAATCCTAGCAAGCCTACCCGTTAGGTTTTACCTCTGTTTTAAACAAAAGAATCACGATGTGAAATGGTAGGGAACTTGTTCAAGACCAGAACATGCGTTCCGCTCACCGGGTGCCAAATTCTGGTAAGCCCACAGACAGCTGCTGGTGGCGGGGCTGTTTCCCACCCGGGACTGCCTAAGCTCAAACTGCACTTACCAAATACTGATTCAGGGACGAGGAGAAAGGCAAGACGACAGAACTACAGAGAGAGAGACAGAGAGAAAGGGAGGGAGGAAGGGGAGAAGAGGGAGGGGGTCGCTATTACATAACTAGCTTTCTCGCGATCCGACAAAGCAACCAAATCAACTAGGACTGCAGAACGAGAACCAATGAACTTATGAGAAGATCCAATGGAAGTGGGTGACCCTTGAGGGGAAAAGAATGCTGTGTTATCAAAGACAAAAGTCACAAAAGTGGTAGAGAGAAAAGGAAAAAAAAAAAAGAAAACTCAAGAAAAAAAAAATCTGGAACGGAGAAGACACTGCCCTTCCCGGATTGTAACTATTTTGGAAGTTTTCAGATTCATTCCAGCGAGCAGTACTGGGAATTCATTAAAAAACTAAGAAACTACAGCCCTGCAGGTTCAGAAGGCTCGGGGTGTTGGGCGCATCCTGCCAACTTCATGAAGCGGGGATTGGGGGGAGCTGACGCGGTGCAGCGAAGGTGAAGCGGGGCAGGGTCGGCCTAGAGCCCACGTCCAGGCCCTCCGTCCCCACCGGCCGGGGACGCTGACCACGAGCAGGGGACGCTGACCACCGGCCGGGGGACGCCAGCCACGGGCCGGGGACGCTGACCAAGGGCCGGGGACGCTGACCACGAGCAGGGGACGCTGACCACCGGCCGGGGACGCTGACCACGGGCCGGGGACGCTGACCACGAGCAGGGGACGCTGACCACGAGCAGGGGACGCTGACCACCGGCCGGGGGACGCCAGCCACGGGCCGGGGACGCTGACCACGGGCCGGGGACGCCGCGCCCAGCCCCGGGAGGCCCGACAGCCGCGGCGCGGGTCGGCTGGTGTGTTGCTCGCTCATTGGCCGGCGTGGGAGGAACAGGAAGGAAGCCCCGGCCACCGAGCCGAGGCACACTCAGCAGCAACATTCAAGAGCAAGCCCGGGAACTGGCGACGGACGAAGTGAAAAACCTCTGCGAGGGCGGGGAGGGGGGAGCCGGGAAATAAAGCCCGCCAAGTCCACCCTCCGACGGACGCCCCGGCTGACCAGTGGGGCCGCTCCGGAGGGAAGGACCGGCGCCGGCGAGGACCGGCCAGCCCGACCGGGAGCCCTCGGCCGCACTCACAGCATGATCCGCGAGACGTGGAGCCGCACCGGGACGCTCCTGTCTTTGAAGGCGGTGGTGATGAAGCAGCCGAAGGTGAGCGCCGCCATCACGCTCAGCGAGAAGGCGAACAGCGAGTTGGCCCGTGACAGCACCGTGTTCATCGTGACGGCCTCCGCTCGCTCCCCGCGGCTCCCCGTTCAGGAGGCGGACCGGCTCCCAGCGACCCGCGCCGCCGGCGGTGCGCACGTTCCGGAGGCGCGCGCCGCCGCCGCCCCGCCTCCCTTCCGGTCTCCCGACGCGGGCGCGAGCGAGCGCGCGCTCCCGCCTGCCCTGACACACCCACCGGGCTCCCGGGCTCCGGCGGAGCCGGGCCGCTCGGCCGAGGACCCGACCGCCAATCAGAGCCCAGGGATCCGCCCCCCCATCCCCTAGCACCGCCGCCAGTCAGAGACCGGCCAACCAGAGCCCGGAGACCCGCCCCAGACCTAGCACCGAAGCCAATTAGAGACGAAGACCCGCCGCCGTCAATCAGGGACAAGACCCGCCCTCGCCGCCAATCAGCGACGAGCATGTGAGAGGCAGGGCATCGTCACGAAAGGCCCACCTCCTTCAGCACAGGCTTGGCCAGAGGATTGTGTAGTGCAGGCCGGCCTATCTTAGGCTGGATGGTCTGAAGCGGGAATTCTTAATTGCCTACCTGCTGTTACGTTTTCGTGAAAACCAGCAATGGGGAAAGGTGGTTTGGAGTCTGTCCTAATGTGTCAAGTCTGAAAGCAGCGTTCTACAGCATACCCTGTCATTTCCCCGTTGCGTAACCTCAACTTTCCTTTGGGGTATCTGCGGAGACAGGGAGAAACTCAGGCTGCCAGGCCCTTAAAGCAGCAACGTTACCCTATAGCGTTCAGCTCCCTTGCTTTGATGACTGTTAGCTTTGTTCAAGAAACCAGATGCCAGACACAACCAGCAAGCCACATGCGAGGCCTTTATTTCGGCGAGGGAGGTAGCGTGGGGTAGGCAGAAAGAGCAAAGGACAAGGAGAAGAGCAGAGACAGCACGAGGAAATAGAAGAAAAGAGAGAGTAAACGGAAGAAGCATCTTTATAGCCTCGAGGTGGGTATGGGGAATGTGAGGTCAGGGATTGGCAGTTACCGCAGCAGGTGGACACCAGGGATAAATGCCTCACAGGATTGGTGCAGCACACAGTTTCAACCCAAAGACCCCTAAGCTTGCTTAGGCAAGTGGGCCTGAAGGGGGTTGAGATCTAGGTTTACAGTAGTGCTGTGTAACCAGTTGTTGGAGGGTTACAAAGACATGAGGCAGCCCTGGATTAGCAGGCATTCCAGTGGCACTGAGTCCAGACAGGTGGGGTCAGTCCTCAGAGTTAGTGCTTACGCTGACCCCCTCCAACATAGTCTAGTGTATGCTTTGTTCTCTGCAAGTTACTATAGCTGTTTAGCATGGTAAGAACTGAAGCTGCAAGTTTTGAATTTTAGCATAGGAACTTTTCTCCGTAACTGAAGCCATAACCACCCAGAGGACTTAGGATCTAGGGAGATAACGCCTGTGGGATTGCTGTACATCACCCTATGTAACAAGTCACATTTTACAAGCCACCAACAAATGATCAGGAAGAGTTTCATGGTGCCCGTCTTTGACCTTAAATATCATACCTGTCAACACATTTGTTCCTTTCACAGCTAGGAATTTTTCTAATGATTAAAGTGAGAATCAAAGGGCCTAGTAATTGACCAGAGTAATTTTTTTTAAGTTTTGCATGCATAAATCAGGAAGTTAAAAGCATCTGTCTTAGATAGATACAAACCACAAAGCGATGAAGAACCGACCCTGACACTGAGTTATGTTGTCTGTGGTTTAACCTTGTTTTCAAAATTAGTTATTATGCAACCATGCCTGCCACGGGGCAGGAGCAATTCAGGCCAAACTGCCTACTCCAGTGGGATAGAACCAGATAATGAGAAAGGCGTAAGTTGTCTGCCATGAGAAGACTCTTGGTTGAGTTTACCTACCCTGGTTTCCATCTTCTGTGCAGACACAGTTTATTCAGTAGAGCAAATATTTAGTAAATGCTTACTAGGCTACAAGTGTTGTGAAGTTTTCTGGTAATCATTTTCTATTTGCATGAAACTAGTCAAACAGAGCTAATGAAACAAATAGTCAAATGGAGCTAATAAAAGAAAAATATAGAAATTCTAAATGTAAAACACGTGTAACAAGAGAAATTAGAATACTGTGAACCTCAAAAGAGGAAATTACTTCTATGATAATGTGGGACAAAGTGAACTATGAAAAGTATTTAACACACAGCCTATAAAATGCACTTTAATTGATGGGTCAGGGCCCTGTACGGCATGAGCAGGGTCAGAGAGAGAGAGAGAGAGAGAGAGAGAGAGAGAGAGAGAGGCAGCTTGTGATTGAGAAAATAAGCAATGACACTGACGCAAGGTAAAGACAATGAAAGGGACACCTGCTTCACAGATGGAAGTCGACCCAGAAGACTTGCTGCCTCAACCTGTTGGGGAACTGCTTGGGGAGCCCAATTACAGGAACTGATGTGGCCCGGATTTTGATAGCTGTGTCCCATACTGATGTTAACCTTCTAATGTTTGATCATCAGGAAGCAATAGTGTGGCCCAGGTACAGCAGTCAGTACGTGAATGTTTCCAGGGTATCGGAAAGCACACAGTTCTGTGGCCCTGGAGCATTGCCCAATTGTGGACCCTCACCTGTAGACCTCGACCTTGGTCTCTGACTTCTACCCATTCATGGATTGTTGCTTGCTGAGTTTGATCTCAGTTTCCTACACCAGCAGTCTGTGAACTCAAGATTCCAGACACAGTCGGCCCTGCTCTTTAACAAATCACACAGTTATTATTATCATTATGCACGAACTCCCTGCAGCAAAGGGTTCTTATTACTATTGGTAGAATTGTCTATATCTATGAAGAATGTTCCAAAATATGCTAAACTATAAGTGAAGATATAACCAAGAGATAGTCAGTGACTGGCTCCAGCTAAACAATATATGTATAAAAGGATTAGTGAGGATGAGCCAGGAAAGTTAAAGGACTTTTGTAAAAAAGCAGGCCAAGAAATTGGAACTTTACAATAAGGAAACTACATAGCAAGAAGAGTTACATCACTTAACAGGTAACCATTTATGAATTATGGGAGCATAGAAGACTTCAAAAAGATCGCTTAAATTATTTTCATGCATAAAGATTTAAATCCTTGCATAGTTCTTTTCATAATGCACATTTATGTGATCTTTCTGAAGACCTCTCATTTGCATGGATTTCAAAAACTTGCATCAAAATAAACTTATTTTTAAATTCTATTTCCTATAAACTTTTTGTAGTACTCTTATATGTGAGGAGTGAGTAATGGAAGATTACGACAGCTAGAAAAGAAGAAGAGGAACATTTCAAAGACAAAATCTACCTGACTTGACAACTGTTCAGATAAAGAAGCGGTCTACAAAATATAGAGGAAAAGTAGATTACAAATGGGCAAAGGAAACTAATAATATTATTATGATGCTGTGTTCTTGAACTTGTGTAACTTGCAGTGCCAGAACATATAAATCCACAGAAGCAGGTTAGGGATAGGGATGGGAAATCACTTGTGCTACTGTATTTTCTCCGTTATTTCTTTAAATTTTCTAGATGGATTTACCTTTTCCTGCCCATTTATGATATTTGTAATTACCTATTTCAGTGGCTAATATTTGCAACAGTACATTTCCAGTAATAATGGATGGTGACAGCTGATACTTGGCTTGTTCCTGATTTGAGTAGGAAGGTTTTCATCAATGCCACATCAAGTGAGAGACTGGTTTTGTGATGGAGATAGATGTGTGCTTCTATCATTATATAATATGTGTATTGCATGTTGATATTAAGGAGATACCCATGAATTCCAATTTTACTGGGAATTTTTAAAATCATGAGTAGATGCTGAATTATTTGGAAATGCATTTTCTGTATAATAGGATATGATAATATAATTTTTCTCTTGTGCTATTATGGGCAATATGATTAAAAGTCATGATACAATGTCATTAAGCATTCCTGAAAGAAATTCCATTTAACCACAATGGATTAGTTGCTCAGATGCTTTGGAGATTTCTTAGCTAGTTTAAAAATTTGTCATTGATATTCATGTAAAAGTGATATAACTCAGATGGGAAAATGAATTAATAGGGTTTCCATATTTACTATGCCCTGGGATATTTTAAATAGCATTTGGATTGTCTGGTCTTAAATAGTGTGGCTGAAATTCCCATGGATTGCTATTTTTTTTTATTTAATAGATAGTAAGAATAAATTCTGATTATGTATTTGTGCCTTCTACCTTTTTAAAATTTTATTTTAAAATATTAAATATTCTTTACATAGTTCAGAGGTGATACACGCTCTTGTTGGCCTCTGACTGGGTGAGGATCAGGTATGGAGGAATGTGGTTGGGTCAAAAAATTTTTTTTTCCTCCTGTATCCATAGAGGAGGGAGAGAGCTGCTCCTTGCTGTCAAACTACATCAGCACTCTAGTTTGGAGGACAGTCCTTTCCCAATATGGAAAGAGTATTCTGAGCACATTAGTTCAATGGTTTAAATCACCTTGAGATGTTGTCGATTTTGTTGCTCAAGGGTTGAGAACATCTTTCCAAGGTCTACTGGTTGACAAAGTCCACCTTTGTGTATCCACAGACCCAGGAACATGCTGCACAGCCTGGTCAGGAGAGTTGTACAACCTTCTCTGCTTTCTATCCTCTGATGAGGTAGTTGATGGCCGAAATGAGCTGGCCATTGCGTCTCCCATGTGCATCTGGGCATGCTATCCATTGTACAGGCATCTGCAACTAAGGAAGCCCAGTCCCGACACATGCATGCCAAGATCGGACTACACATCTTGTGATTTTCCCTGAAGAAACCTCGTCTGAGGTAACCTCAGACTGTACTCTTATCTGTGCCAGCTAGTGCAGGATCAGGTGCAATGTGTCAACTGCACCAGCCAACACACACTATCTTTAAAATTAACTATTTTAATTAGTATTTTTGTCTGTGCTGATTCTTTTTCAAAAAAACCTGGTTTTGCATTTGCCAATTAAACTGCTGTTCCTTGTTTCTCAGCATCAGCTTTTTGTTTTGTTAGCATCAGCTTTTTATCCGCATTTTTTTTCTTGGTCTATTAGCTTTGAGAATTGGGTATTTAATTGATATATTTTTTTTC